TGGACGACAGAGGTGCGGAGCAGCAGCAGAGCCCCGGCTGCGCTCAGCTCGGGCTGCTCCGCAGCCGCTGCCTTCGTCCACAAACCTCTCTTTTGGTGTTTGGCGTCCAAGCAGACGAGACGGACCTGTCCCACGAGAGACCCCGCTGCGAGACAGCCGCCTCGCGCACGCAGACCTACCTGCTCGGCCAGCTGATGCTTGTGCTCCGCCGAGGTCTTCTCCAGCTCGGCGATTCTTGTCTGCTGCTGCTGCACCACGGATCTTAAGTGCTTGATGCAGTTGTGGTTTGGCAGCTCATCTTTGGGCATTTCCAAGCTGCGGAGCGTTACAGGAAAAGGTGGAGGCCCCACATTAGGGAAAGTTACACACCCGAGCACTTGGCATAAGCACGTGAACAGTCTCCAGAACAAATCCAGTCTTGGAGGACTTGCCAAGAGCCTTGGGGAGCCCGGCACCGTAACCTCCGATAGGTGCAGGAAGGCCTGCTCCCTGCTGCGTCTCAGGGCCAAGCCAAACGGTCTGGGGGAGAGCCACGGCAACAAACCCCCACCAGGTCAGCAGGCGATGGGGATTTTCCTCCTCCAAAGTGATCAGGGCTCGCAACCAGGTCCTGCACTAGGCAGCCTGTGGGCCTGATCCAGTCCCTGACTTCATCCGAGGAGACCGGATAGTCTCCAAAGCCAACAGTCAGTCACCACCTGGCTGGATGCACGTGAGCAGGAAGGACATCGGCACCAAGCGCACAGGCGCCAAGGCCAGACCAGCCACCCACCGCTCCTGGCTTTCGGCGACACGTAGGAGGGAGCAGAGCTCACGCTGGAACTTGTCCCAGGGGGCTGGAATGGCTCTGGGTGGATTCACAAAGGCCTCGGTACCCCGTTTCCAGCAGCCAACGGCCACCTGAGCCTCAGCAATGAGCTGAAGAGCCAGGGGTTTTGAACCAAGGTTAAAAAGAAATGAGTTTGACTAAAAATCCTTCCCAACACATTCTGCAGCACCATGGCCTTCAAAGCCCCGTGACCCACAGAGCTCTGCACCCTGGGGTAAAAGGGGTGCCAGGCACCGAACCCCAGTTTCCTTCCCTGACCCTGTGGTCCCTGCTCTGCCCACCCTCTGTGGCAGAGCCCCCCAAAGGCCATCCTCACCCGCATCCCTGCTCGCAAGTCACTGGACGCTTTGGATTGTGCTCGCAGTCGTTGAGGTGAGACATCAGGTTGTCAAGTCGCACAACTGCCGTACAGCCGAAAACAGCGTTGTCGCAAGTGATCTGCAGCTTCGAGAGCATATTACGCATGATCCGCGGGACGGGGCGGAGGTGGGCAACCGTCACGACGCTGCGGTCCACGGGGCACGTCTGCTGCTGGGAGAACCACTGGGTGATGCAGGCATTGCAGAAGGCGTGCTCGCAGTGAGGAGCCTGCGGAGGGGCAGAGAACAGCCACACGTTACTCAGACCCAGCCAGGAAATGTTTGCTGGCTTGTGTATGGAGGACAACCTTGACGAGAGAAATGCTCTCAAGTCTTTGAGGGATGCACGGAAGCTCCGTGCCGCCTTGGGAGAGGAAAGCAAAGGGAAGAGGCACCTCCGTTACACAAGCAGGCACGATGCCCACGCAGGCGAATGAGACACCAAAAGCAAGACCGGTAAAGACCAGAGCCACGCGCAGCACCTTCCACTACAACGCGAGAGGCACTGCTGCAGAGCCGTCCTCCCTTCCCTTGGAAGAGCAGGTGCCCACCTTCACCTCGCTCTGGTTTGAATTTGTGTGCCCAACCCCACCAAGGTACTCTCTCCCCACCAGAGGTGGGAGCAGTGCTCCTGCTGCGCTCCATCCCAGGTAACGCTGCCTCTTGAAAGGGCTGAGGGGGCAAGACAGATCAGGGAGCTAAACTGAAACATTTTTCCAGGGCAGATCAGACCATTACTTCACTGTATTTACACAGCTGGGCTCTGCTCTTGCCTTCAAGCTGCAGTTGAAAGAGTGTTAAGACTGGGGAGGGGGAGTGGGACAGACGCCAGCTCTTCATACAACAGAGAAAAACTCTTTCTTCCACAGAGCAGAAACCCAGAGTTACAGGAAGGTCAGACGCATTCAGGGCTAAGTCTCATTTACAAGCTGCTCCCCCAGCGCACAGTGCCTTGCAGGCTGTCTTGTACCAGCCGACAAAGGCAGACGGCGATTGCAGGACGTACACCGAATTAGGGTTCGCCCGTTCAAGCTACGGGACCATCTTGGGAGTTTCAGTGCAGCCCCCGTGACAACGCAGCTCGAGTCAACCAGGCCAGCACAGCGTCTCCGAGCCAGCACGCAGCACGTGCCGGGCTCTGGCAGAGGGACAGCCACTCCTCTCCCTTGCATCTTCCTGAAGTCCCGCGCTCCGAGGCTTTGGCTTTCCCAGTCCTCCACAAAGCTGGCCTCGCTGCTCCCCTCACGGCATTTTATCCTCTCAAGCCCATGCCCACCTCCACTGAAGCTTAGGGATTGGGGTACCCCAGCGTCACCGAGCGCAGACTGGAGATGCGACGGAGAAATCACACCAGTGTCACTGGCTACTGCAGGCAGAGGGTCACCCTGTGCCCATAACACAGGGACAGGCCCTGGGGAATCTCCATCCTTAAGAGATACGGAAATCTTGGGGCCGGATACAGCCCCTGAGATCGGACTGGAGGCGGCCCTGCTTTGACCAGGCAGAGGGACCTCGCAGGAAGGGAAGAACAAGGAAAGAGTCCTCAGGGATTTGCTCCCTTCAAGCCAAGGGCTGTCAGAGGGCACGGCTTGTGCCTCGCTCCACACTCAGCCTTGTCGCAGCTGCAGTTACTGCAGTGCTGGCAGGAGGAGGAGGGCTGGTACTCAACAAGATAGGCTGTTAAACACGCTTGAGAAAAGCCTGGGATCAAGGGAGTTTATGATATCACATTCTCACAGGAGATTTAAATAAACCTGCTTAAGAAAGCAGCAACTTTGCCTCTGTTTTGTGCGATGGCCTGTGATCATGTTCACATGCTGACAGACTTTTTAAAAAGCAAAGCTTCTTTTGACGTAACAGATTAGCGTAGCTGGAAGGTGCTAACACACCATTTTCACTACAATAGGCTGCAGTTCCACGCACCCCCAGCCCACTGGCACGGGGTGGGCTACAGCACACAGCCTCTGGGATCCCCGCGGGGCAGCTTACCAGCACGGTACAAATCACAGCTTTCGTGATGCTGTTTATTATTAAGCAATGAAACGGCAATAATTATGCACATGTTTCAGATTAGCTCAGTTTTATTTCAATCTGTTTTATTTCAAATGAAGCTGGATTTACGCAGAGGGTGCTGAGCTACCCAGCACACGGCCACAGCTCGGCCAGTGGAGGAACGCCTCCGGCAGCATACAGACCCTGAAGGGAAGAGGCAGGGACCAGGAGAACAAAGCCCCATGTAGAAGCCAGCTCCGCTCAGCACTGGCGAGGGGGCCATGAAAGCCCCCACTAACCTCGCCCCCCAGTTAACAGGGCTTGGGAGGACTGAAAGGCACAGGAGGGCCGGGGACTACGCAGTGTGCTGCACTGGAAGAGCTCACAGGAGCAGAGCTCACAGGACAGCACCGTCCAACAGCCCTTTCGCTTCGCAGGAAGCGGAAGCAGCAGCTCCCCGTGCACACCCTCCTTCCCCGAGCGGCTGCACAAGCTGCAGAGTGAGCCGGAGGATCCTCAAACCACTCGGCTGTGCCGGGCCCGGGCAGAGCAGCGTGCTGCTACCAGGGCTGCGGTCTGTCCACCCTCCGAATGACGTTCGGTGGCAGGGGGAGAGCCGAGCCAGCTCCCAACAGCAAGTAAAACAGATCAGCTCCATAGCATGGAGGAAGCATGTGCGCAGGGAAGCAGAGAGGGTCAACCAAGCGTGAAGCCATAAGCAAGGGACAGATCTTAGCCATCTCCGCCTTGGGACAACCATCGCTGGTATGCAGCTGCATCAAGCTTTGGTAGACTTAAGAAGGGAGTAAGGAATGAAAGAGTAAAGGGAAACCTGTCCCGACACAAGCTTATCCCTTCCTCCTGCCTCCTTGCTGACCCCTGGACAGCCCCCAAACCCATAACTTTAGCTCATTTCCACCAGAACACACACAACTCAGACTTTTATCCCTGCTGCTGCTTTCTCACCCATGCTGTTGCCTTAAACCATTAGTAGGAAAGTTAAGAATCCATTGAGCTCACCTAATGCACACGCTGTGTGCGGCGCCCATCATCTGATCAAGACATCTAGAAGTCTGGAGCTGCAATCGGAGGCTTTCAGTAGCCACAGTCAGTGCTCAGACGGAAACCTACCTGAACCGGCTCCTCCAGGACCCCGCTGCAGATGGGGCATATAAGGTCTTCATCAACATCCCCCTGAAAACGTGCTACATCATACCCCATTGCTCATCACCGATGCCAGAACCCTGTGGAGGGAAAAAGAAGAGCAGTTAGGACCAGTTGAGCATCCTGTGGTGTCTGGACAGAGCAGGTCCCAGCCCTCACGGCACCCTGGTCCCCGAATTCCTGCACTCTGCTCCCAGTGTGACCACCTGCAGTGGCCCCAGGCACGGCTGGAGCTCACAGCCAAGTGCCATATGGAGGAGCATGCAGGGGGAAGCGGTCTCAGCCCCGTTTGTGTGTGCTGAACTGCTCCCCCGTTTCGATGCGCTGCTGGCATTGCTCCTCACCCACACATGTTATTGCTAACCCTGCTGCAATTTTTGTACTCGCTGGATGTTGGGTTTTGGTTTGGGGGTTTGGGTTTTTTTTTTTTTGTAGAGGAGAGGACAGTGCAGGGGCACCTCTAAAGTGTGAGCCCAGTCCCATGGCCTGAGCAGTGGGATGTGTGCCAGGGACTGTCCCTGGGTACGGCCAGACACCCGGCAGCCTCGCCACATCGGCTGCAGAGGAACCAGCTCCTTCCCTGGGGACAGTGGCCCTGCTGGCTCCTGGCACCCTGGTTGCCCACCGCAGATACTGTCCTCTGCTGCCATCTCCAGCAGCTTTCCCACTCAGCCGAGCAGACACAGAGTGAAGACGTCCAACAGCGTCTGCAGCAGAGCGTGACCTCAGCCGGGTGCTCCAGCGCCTGGACGAGGAGTCCCCCCAGCTCACTGGACCTGTTGGGGTTCCTGCTCCCAGCACGGAGGGGGTGCAGCCCCAAGAGCAGCCCCTCAGGCACCAAGTCCCCATCCCTCCCCGCTGAGGACGGCATTCCCAGGTAACGCCGTTCTCACGCTATCTGCCAGAGGCTGACCTTGAGCTCTGCCCCGGCACACCGGCAGTTACCGGTTCCTCTGTGGCTTGTCCATAAAGAGCCAGCTCCTCCTCTCCCGTTCTCACCAACATCAAAGTCTGTGACAAACCGCCACAGCCATACAGATTCACACTGCACTTGACTCCAGATAAAGGAGTCCCCACCCCAAACACAAAGAGGAGCCAGGAGGGATCAGAGGTGCGTGAGGGCATGCAGATGCCATGTGAGGCTCTGAAACCACCATCCACACGGCAAGGAGATCGTGGCATGGCAGCTCTTCCAGCTGTGCAAACACCAGGAGCATCTACTTGCTCTGGAGGGCAGGTAGGAACTCGCCCTGCTGCTGCTCCACAGCCAGATGTGGCCACCCAGCCACAGCCAGCGGTGCCAAGCTCCTGCACCTCGGCCCGGCTGCTTGCACAACGCCACGTTCCTGCCCAGCCGGCTCGTCACAGCTGAGGGAGCTTTGGCTCTAGACAGACGCAGCAAGCGGAGCTGGTTGTGGAAACCACTGCGTCTGCCCAGCTAGAGCAGCAAGGGAGGAGAGAAGGTGATGGATGGACAGAAAGGGAGGCTGTAGGTAATGCAATTGCTTCATGGTTGGCCCCTGGGACCCTCCCCGAGTCAAAGGGCAGCAGGAAGGGACTTTAATCAACTCGCTGGACACTGTGAAAGTTGGACAATAAATCACCTCCACGTGTGGATGGATTCTTTGCTTCCACAGAGCAGGCACAGACAAAAGACTCCTCTGATAGAGGCCGGGGGAGGGAAAGTCCCTGTGTCAGAGTTTGCAATTCAGATAAGATTAACGGCTGCGGGGAGAACGGATCTCTGAGCAACTAGGATTAAGGTTGCTCTTAAACCTTCCCATGCCTTTGGACAGATGCTGCTCTCCTGCACTGGGAAGGGACCCAAATCCCTTCCCATCCCTTAATGAGCCACTCGCACTGCAAGTCTCAACACCTCCAACACATTTACATTGGGTTCAAACCAACTGGAAGGGCAAACACGGATGTGAAGGACCCAGCACAACAGCTCCCGGCTGCCAGATGAGCTGCTGCACCCAGGCAGCCTGCTAGCCCCCCACTTCGCAGCTGGGACCACTCTGACCTCCTCTGTGCTCAGGCACTGGTTCATGCCCTGTGTCTTAATAGGTCTCACTCGTGAGCAGCTCCATCAACAGCCTGCCCTCTCCTGCTCGGGAGACACAGCACCTGCTCCTGCATGGGCACGCAGGTATCGAAGTGGGCACCGCTTCCTCAGAACCACGCTCCCCACCAACTCGTCTTTGTCTTTTGCTTCCAACAAACAGCTGGGCAAGACACTAAACATCTTCACATCCGCTCAGGAAAGAGCCAAGTGGAGGGCAAAACACAAGCACTGAAAGCCAGCCTTGCCATCTGCCAAACAGAAGCCACATCAAAACTCTCTCCAGAAAGATTTCAGCACCTGGATGGGTCTGAGCCCCTCTGAATTCTTCTCATTCCTCAGACCAGCTGTTTCCCCTTCTGCCAGATCCTCTGCAGGGCTCTGCCAGCACACTGAAGCAAGGAGTGCCCTGCTGCTATTGCAAAGCAGAAACAGGAGAGCTGAAAGCACCTGCAAATGCTCGAGTGAGATGGAGCTGGCAACCCAATCTCCCTCCTGCTAGGTCCAGCAGTGAATTAATGACCTGGCCCCGCAGGATACTGGATACACTTGTTCTTCCCTGGGCTCAGCAACCTGCAGGATGGCCCCAAAGAAGGTATCGCATAGCTAATACGAGCCAGTCCTACTTGCGCAGCGCTACTCAGCAAGAGCGATGATTCACAGGCTGCAGGGATCCATCATGTGCCGAACCGAAGCACAAAGAGCTTAGAAAATACCTTTCCTGGAAGGGCTTGCAGAGGCACTCAGGCACCAGGGTGAAGCCAAGCCAACCGTCTGCAACACAGGCAAGACACGATAGAGGGGAGAAAGGCTGGGCAGGAGCCCAGACAAGCCCACTGCTGCAGGAAATTGCCTCTGCAGTAAACAGCAACTACCACCTATGATTATACTTGATTTAAGCAAATGAGCTTCCCAATCCTGCCCTCTCCAAATATGCACAGCTTCTTGACCCCAGCACCATCAGCCTCCCTAGGGCTGGGCAGGGAGAGGGGATAGCTTGCACAGATCAGAGGCCAGTCACAGAACTGGGCTTTAGCCCAAATTACAGAGAAAAGCTGGGATAAGTCACTTTTTCCCCCCTTCCCTCCGCTTCCCTTGTCATCACGCTCCTGCGTCTTTGTAGATTGTGATCATCTTGGCCTGGGGACTCCAAGTGCCTGCACTGCTGCTCAACACAGAAGAGATCTACATAGCAACAAGGGCTTGATGGTATCAGAGAGGATCAGTAATTAACAAGTCAAAAGCACTTTGACATTCCTACCCTTACCCAAAGCCTCCTCAGCATCCACCACAGACAAAGGTTCCTAAGAAGCCCTTGGGGAAGTAGAGGAGAGGAAAGGGGAAGGCAACAACTCACTCCCCAGCTGGTTAGAGCCGTGCTGCACAGAGGACAGCCCCAAGCCTGTCGCATCCCCAAGGCGCGGATCCCCCAGCTCCCCAATCGCTTCGGAGGGGCCAGCATCTCATCTCAAGCCCCAATTTGCACTGCTCCTCCATCCTCCCCACAAATACGACATCTAAAAGTTAAGGCAGACCATCACGATCAACTCCCCCTACCCTGGTCACAGGAGATTCATTCCTACATACCCAACACATTGCAGTTTTGCTCCAAGTCTTGGTCAAAAAGGGGCTTTATTTGGTTTTCTGGCATGAGCTTATATCCGCCCTTCACATGGCAGCGCAGGATCACAGCGAGCGGGGCTGGGGCTCCTCCGACCCAAAGCATATCTACCTGTCTTTCATCTTGGCAGCAACCACACAGATAAGATTTCCGTGGTCACACTGTGCTGTCTTCCAGCACAATAACTAACTGTTCCTGCCCCCAGAGGAAAATCCAATTGCTGAGAATAATTTTTCTGTTGACAAAAGAAAAGTTAATGGCTTAAAAAAGCTTCCTCTTCTCCTTGGAGAAAAAAGTCTGCATGGGAGCCCATGGATTTGTTCCACGGCCCGCAAAGCACATGTTCACATGTTCCCTCCTTTCTGCCACAATATGTTCAAGCCGCTGGATCCCAGACACTCCGGCTGAGCCAAGCTTTCTGCCTGGCCGACTGTTCTAGGCACGGTCCATGGAGCAAGCCAGCATCTACCAGCTCCAGAGGAGCTCTCCACTCCACCAGCACAGGGAGGCTGACTCATCTGGAGCTCACAGGGCTGTACTTCCATGCTCCTGCTCACCCACACAGCCAGCCCTCCTCAGTCCACAGCGGTTTCAGGCTACAAGCACACGTGGGCAAGGATCCAGAGCAACCTGGAAAGCGCCTGGCCCCAGACAGCTTTGCTGGGAAAGCAGCACCTTCCACAAGATCTCACCAGCACCGATGGCTGTGGGTCCCAGGGCAGGAGCAGACACCTCCACCTGCACCATGCAAACAGTGTGCCAGGCTGTCGGGAGACACTGACTCACTCCAGGAGCTGATGAGTGCAAGTATTAGCAACACGAGCAAAGACCAGCGCAGAGGCAGACAACAGCACTGCAAGGGAAGCGAGTTTCACCCAGGTAAATGATGTGCTGGCTACAGAAGTCCCCGGGCCCCAGCCGCCCAGGGGCCGGAGAAGGCCAAGGTTTGAAAGAGGCACTGACCCACCTCGACCCGCGTGGCTGTGCCGAGCGGAACAGCGACAGCGACGACTCTGCGCTCACGCTAGAGCTCACCGAGATACACCAGCCCGGTCCAAGGCAAACAACAGACGACAACAGCGAGAACAAAGCCATCACAGGAGCAGAGCCAGCACCTACCTACTAAACACATGGCAAAAAATACGCCTGCAAAAATCAGAGCACAGCGGTCAGTAAAGCCAACGACTGATGAAGAGCAGTGACCACCCCAGGGCCTTGTGTTCAAACACAGAGGCGTCCAGCTCCTCCCCAAGGACAGCAGCCACTGCCAGCCCCTGCCAGCTCCGCTGCCTGCCCTCCTTCTAGCAGCAGATCGTGCGCTGCAGCCCCTCTTCTGAGCCAGTACCTGGTGCCAGGTCACTAGGGAAGCCCATCCCTTCTTTGGAAATACAGAAGGC